ACCACTAATAACCTGGGTCCTGCCTGTGTAAAACTGAAAACAAAGAGCTAACCATTTTCTAAAAATTGGAAGCTAAGTCTGAGGAATATTTATGATTTAAAAATGACCTTAAAGTGAGGCTATCTTACAAGTATTATCATACTTATATCAAGAACATCCTCACATCATCTGAGATTAATCCTTTCCCAATTCGCTGTTTATAATCTTGAGCAGAACCGAAATGAGTTAATCACCTTCAACTGACTTTAGTCAGACGCTATTTCTAGAAGTCATGTCTATATGACACTGTCAGTGTCATATTACTGCTTGCTGATGTTATTGTTTTTCTAACCAAAATGCTTGATTCAAGTTTGTTTTCATTGTATAGATGAAAATGACATTCATGATCACAATAAAACTTTTCATAAGTAGTCAAAGTAAGTTTCATTCCCCAAAAAGCAGTGTTGTTCTTACTAAAATAGTTACAATGTCTAAGCAATTTTAAATACTAAAGCAATCTCCCATAACTTTTAGCTGTGTACCTACCTTCCTCTTGTTGTGATAGGTGATATAAACAACAGCTACTAAGAAGGCAACTATAACCAGATGAAAAAAGAAGTGGCTGTCTTCTTCCAAATCTGCAACAGCAGCATCTTTAATCTTCTCTTCACGGGATTTAATCTCCTCGTTATAATTAGTAATGGTGTCAGAGTCCTCATCTTCTGGCATATCTAGGAGGTCTGGACTGTATCTCGCATTTGATGTCATTTCATAAGGACCATAGTCATCTCCATCAGACTCCAGAGTTTCTTTTATTATGGGCGGTGAACTATTTAGTGTATCTTTCAAATCTGTTAGAAGATCCTCTTCCTCAATTTTAGTGTCTTCAGAAGCATCAACATCCATCTGAGATACAGGACTAACAGTCACTGCATGAGAGAGGACACTGAGCAGAGAATCTTCTTTGGCTGGAGATGGTTTTACTGCAGTCACAGAAGTGATTTTAGTTGTTGTTGGGAGCACTTCTTTTTGTGTTGGTGTTATACTGTGCAAACCATCTATCCCATTTTGTAGTGTTTCATTCTCACTTCTGGAAACATTCTTCTGAAGCTCCTCTACTTTTTCAGACTCTGAGAAAAGGACAAAAACATTTAACATTAAACCCAAGACACTAACTTCTCTTGCAATACTTCAATTAAAAATGACCACACGACAAGGATTTTACAACCAAGAAATCCCACCATGATGCACTGGAGATATTTCATACTGCAAACTTTTTTAGAAGTCATAAGCAGAACTGTACTTTGTAAACTTCAAAAAGAAGTCTTCAGTAGGACAGCCACTTAAGTCAGGAAGGACACCCTTACCATATCAGTATGCCAAGGTGTTCCTCAAACATTTAGCATGCTTCCTTTCCAGACTGAGGACTTCAGAGACGCATCTCCCACCCTCCATGAATGAATGACGCCTTGTAGGATCATACTTGACCAGTATTTTCTCCATCATCACATGTTTTCTCCCAGGAATTTGGCTGAGATTCCTAGAACATCTCCTGCAGGTAACAGAGCTTTAGAATCTTTCTCCCTAGCATAGTATGCCCAAAGAACATGAGAACATATGCAACTTCTCCTTCGGTCAGGACACAGGGTCCCAGCACCTTTTCTTATATTTTT